TAATCTGTGGATGAACGAAAATACTCTTCTATCAATGTAAAACTATTAACTGTATTTTGTTGTTGTGACCAATATTAAAATTTGTAATTGCTTATAGAATTTTCGTTAAGAGCACATTGCAAAACACTTTAATTGATCGAGAACAAAATGAATGCGCAAAAGCCACAGAGCGGGAACATGTAAGGAATATAAAATAATAAGTGCAGTTTTTTAGATAAAGGTTTGTGTTTTATTTCACAGTCACACATGATTGCGACAATGGAAACATGCTGAAAATGTTAATTTAGATTTTTAGTCCGGAGTTATAAGTTATATTTTAATTTATTTATTACCGATTTAATTAGTTTTAGATTAGTTGCAAGTAACTCTTGTTGTTGAAAAATTACATCAGTAAATACTTAAATATGTGAATAAACTAATAAGAGGAAATAAAGTATCGTTTTTTTCGTTACATATATGTATGTATATTCCCTGAACATACCATATACATTCACAGAACATACACATGTACATTCACTGAACATACCATGTACATTCCCTGAACATATAGTGTATTAACTCTGACAGATTCCTGGGACATGCATGGAATGTCCCAGAAATATGCATGTACATCACATGAATGTTCCAGGTATATCCTGGGAATATCATTTTGCTATGTGGGTGAGTTTACATGCTATCTGCGAAACTAACGAACATTATGTACCTCTTAAGCATACTTAGATGTTTCCTTATGCTTAGTTGCGAAATAGAATATCATGAATTTGTGAAGTTGGCTAAATAGGATATCATAACTTTGTTTCGTTTTTAGTGACTTCGATCGATTTCCGTAGTTCTTAAATACGCTACTTACTTCACAGCAGCGTTCCATCATGTGGGCCAAAGGCAGGAAAGAGAGCATAACATCGTCACTCTTTAGCCGGTGATCCCCAAACTGTAGAACCACTGAGCTCATAGAAGCCACAACGTTTTCGTGAGTGAGCATCACTCCTTTCGGTTGACCAGTGGTGCCGCTCGTGTAGCAAATCGTGCACATATCTGCAGGTTTGGGCGGCTGAAAGCAAATGGTTTGTTACACTCTGATATCGAGATTGAGAGGGTTTTGGTCTACGTACAATTTCTGGATTGTTCGCTTTGGACCCCAAAAGCTCCACGTCTTGAAGCTTGAGTATTTCAATTCCCATGTTTTTGGCCCTCTGTTTGGTCGCTGGCCGCACATCCTTAAACACTATTAACTTCTTTAAACATCTAGGCGACTTCTCTAATATCGAGTTGCATTTTGTGTCGTCTTCTACCAAAATCACTTGAATTTCAGCTGAAAGCAACGGAAAATTTTTCCTTTAATCTCTTCAACTCCTTTGAATTTCTCGGCTCCTACCGTGCTTAATAATAAAAGAACACGCGTCAGCACCCAAAGTGTCATACAAAGGAACTATCACCATGCTGTAGCAATACGCGGCCTGTTCGACCAAAATCCATTCTGGACAATTGATCGCATAGATGCCAATCATTGTGTTCGGTCCGGGCTTTAGGCCGATCTCGACCAATCCGGAGCCGAGATTTCTGGCCCTCAGCAAAGTCTCGTTGTAGGTGAGCCATTGGTAGGGCTTGGAGTAAGATTCCCTCCAGCCCAGACACGGTCCGTTATCTGAAAGAGTCAGAAAAGTGCAAAAAATCGCGAAAAATTTGCTGTTTGCTCTGCAGGTTTTATCCCACGTTGAAATTGATTGCTTTTGGCTGAAAACTTGTTATTTTCGACGAAATTTGAGGAGTTTTTCCGCTGAATAAACACAGGACCGTTTCGAATCGAATAAAGCTGATTTATACGAGCTGGAATGGCGCGAACTCGTTAAATGCGACATTTTATCAAATGCCTGCCTTGAAATTCATAAACGGGCTTCCAGCTAATACAGGCAATTAACGTTCCACCGTGTGGGTGGCGGATCGAAATAAAATTATATTTTTACATTTTGGTAAGTTGTGAATTACATTTTTATTCGACATCTACGGCGCATAACAATGAATTTCCCGCAAATTCCCTTAATCTTCCGGAAGAGATCGCTTAACGAAAACGTTATAAACGGTATATACTTTCCCGACTGTGTTTCAGTCATTTATTGTCTCTATTTATCAATCAAAATACGTTTCGGTGTATTTTTCCACCATCATCAGTTTTTATGTGTAGCGTTGTTGCTGCT